ACGTGCCTCATAAACTCAAAACATTGTGATATTCTCAAGGGACGACGAGACGGAGAGATAACTGATAAATGAGTTTTCAGGTGTTTTGCAGCTCAGCGTCACATTAGATTATTTCCTCAGCAGTTTAGAATGGAAGATGGTTTGCATGTTTAGAGGCAGACGTCTGGAGATGTTAACATTTACATATAAAGATACGATCATCAGTTTCCTCAGTGAAACATCATGTGTCTGGTCTTATGGCACTTTATCTAATATAAAACATTATCACCTCCAATTTGCTGCTTCTGTCTCTCGTGTCTTTGAGTCACTTCTCCAAAGTCGTGGCGCTGTAGCTCGTTCCTGTCCTATTTGACATTTTCAATGATTTGTGTCTTATTTTAGGCGTTAGACAGTGATGTCGATGCCACTTTATCTTCAGCCCAAGCCTCAGTAGCAAATCTGCTGTCTGAGCATCCATCAGACACCGAGGAGGCTGTGAGGGTCGTCAGAAATGTCCCTCACCTCCCGACCCTACCTTTTGTGTACGTCCCCCGCAGTGTCCCATTGTTATAGAAAGGTTGCCGTCCCCTTGTGTTTGATGTGCGTCTGACAGCGGCTGATAGACGCATGCGGAGGTCCGCTATCTGAACTCAGCCGCCGCTGAATGAATAAATGGATTGACCATTTGTGCCACAGTGAAAAGAGAAGCTTCCTATCAGACGAGCAGACGCTGTCGTTTCAAGAGATAAGAAAAGCTAAGGTGCTTTCAAGCATGAGCTCAGGACGACCCGGGGCTGTAACATTAATTAAAACAAGCAAATTGACAAAGTGTTTCATTATTCTGAGAAATTAATCAACAAAAATACTTCACATTCTTTAATCCCGGAGGCTTTGATCATTTTCACCACATTCATTTGATAGTAAATTGAATATCTTTGTGTTTTGGACTATTTCTCTGACAAAACAACTAAGTTCAACCCAACTGCTTCAGCTTAGATCATTTTTTTTCTGCTATTCTGACATTTTCTTGGAAATTAATTGATTATTCAAGAAAATAATGAAAAGACACATTTGCAGTCATATGTTAAGATAAAGCAAAATGTTATTCTGATTTGCAAACCATGAAATGTCATCATTTCTTTGTTGATTTGAGTAATTTTAAACAGTTTGACCAACAGATTAAGCGAACTCAAGAAATTACTGAATGCCATATTAATCACCTTTTTACTTTTTTTACATTATAGGTTAAACAATTAATATTTAAGAAAAAAACATGCACAGTTTGTATAGTATATTAATTAAAAACATATTCTGATTCCCTGTTTCACCATTAATGTTAAAAACCTGCAGGTTTTATTCATTTTCAGTCTCTAAACTGGTCTTTTCAAGTTGGTTCATGCAAACTTGTATTTGTGTTGTCTCCTCTGTCTTCATGAACACAATGTGGGAACAACTACACAACTTCCTTGACCTCTGTTTGCCCACTCAACGGTTTGCCACTCAGCAGGCTGGCAACAGGCCCGACGCTGCACCCTCTCCCTCTGTGGCCCTGACAGAAGGGGTAGAAAATGGAGGAAGTCGTGGTCGGTCTGTGTGTGTCTATTGTTTAATTTCTATTCTGGACAGGAAATGCCTCCACTCGTCTGGCAGCATTGTTACTATCTGTGTCACAAACGAAGGTGTGAAGTGATGTCATTACTGTTGCACCAAGGAAATTACCGGGAAGTTGACAGTAAAAAAAAAAAAAGAGCTGTGATTTAACTGGTATGCGAGGAACGCCACCAGAAGTTTCGCACAACCAGCTTTGAAATGGGGATTTTTCTCGGTGTGTTGTTCCTCCAGCGTTGGGGTCACCTGTGTTCCTGGAAGGATTCGTTTTGAAAAGGAAGGGCCAGGGATTAGAAGGCGTTACTGGTGTGAGCTCAGAAGCTTGAGCCGCTTCCCAAAAGTCCAAAAGCCAGCAGTTTTTTTTCTTTGTCTTGTATCCAGCTACACACAATGAGCAGAATTGTAGATGCAGCCTTCATCAGCGTGCCCCAGTTTCAGCTACACCCACCACTGTTGGTCTGATCTCTCACTCCTCCTGAGTTTGTCCCTTTTTCTTCCCAAAGATGGGAATAAACACCAAGATGAGAGCGAACACGAAACACCTAAGTGCTGTTGAAAGCAGAGATAAAAGGCCCGCAGCTTTTGATCTCAGCACCGAGAGGAAAAGAAGCGTAAGAATCATCTGTTAGAAAAAATCCAAGTAGGGTGTTTTTATATTTTTAACGTAAAATCGTTTGAAACGAAGCGAAATGAAAAATGCAGAGGCTGCCTCGGATTTAATGCTCTCATCTCTATGTCTTAAAACTTTTAATGCGTCCTCTCTCCGTGCACTTTGTGGTGATTGTGTTTGGTGCCATCTAAAAGAAGACCAGTAAGAAAAAAAAAAAGAGGGAGAAAATTAGACCGGAAAATGCAGGGCCCACTGAGTGGAAACGATGGGGTCCTTTACATTCTTTCCATAGAGTCAATCTGAAATATTTGAGACTGAAGCCACAATTGATGGTTTTGCATATTTCTCCCTGTGAGGCTGCATTTGAATGGCGCTGTTTTATTCACCCTGATGTCACTGTGGCATGGGGGGGGGGTTAAACCTGCAACACTGCCACCTAGTGGTGCCTTTGTGTCTGGGTTATTTAACACTCACTGCTACAAAGGTTAAAGTCAAAGTTCTTCCTTTTGCACAGTCAACAGCTTTATGTCTGTGTCTGACAAAGGTTCCCACAGTGACATTTGTTCTGTTCTCTCTTGTTTGAATTCTGTGACTAGATCCCAGATCACATTCATTAAAAAGTTAATATCTGGGTCTGGATGAAAAGCTTTGGATTATGAAAACGGTTTGTTGCCTCATGTTTGTGCTGAGCAGCAATGAGGGAAGAAAGAAAGAGGAAAGAACGAGGTGATGAAAGGTTCAGGCCAATGACCTCTGTGAGCACGGTTACATAAGACGTTGCAGTTACATGGTTGGTTTGTGTGTTTGACCACCGGGCCGCCTCAGAGAAGGTGTCAGCACGTACAGCAGATAAAGAACACAACACAGGATCCAAGTTCCACTGTGCAAGAAAATGTGGCATCATTTGTGCACATTCATATTGTAGAGACATGGCGGAGTTTGACTTTTCAGTAGTATGTGGAAACTCTTTGTGTGTGTCTGTTTCTTCTTCCTGAAGGTAGATGCATTCATCACTGAATTTCCATTTCCTACTGACGACGCTGAAGTCGGTCACAGAGGTGTAATGTTTCTCGTTAGAGGTCAAAGGTCAGGTTTGTAACATCAGAGCAACGTTCTTTCCAACACTACGTGATAAAAAAAAAACATCTTGTAGAAATCACCTGTTTTTATTTCTGAGGTGAATTTTCTGCAACATTGGAATTAGACTTTTGTTGATATCGATAAAAGCTCTCAAGGTGTTTAAAATGATTCTCAATGTTAAAAAGTTAAAGTAAGTACTCGTTTTCAATCCTCCATGAATTACTCGAGTATTTAAATTTGCAGCTGAAGTCTCTCTGAGTCAAGGCTGCAGTTTCTTGGTTGTCCAGTAGGCTGCAGTAGATGTCAGAACATCGCCTCTGTTAAATGCTTCTGTTCCCAGTGTTTCTCTGACCAAAGACGCTCTGAGCATGAGGATGTGGTTAGTGAGGATCGTGCTGTGTGATGTAACAGGGCCGGGCAGCCCCCAGGACAATACAGTTTCCTTTCTAAGTCTATTTATTAAAGGCCCAACCCAAATAAAACAATAGTAATGATGTGGGTTTAGACAGACTTCAAGGGGCCGGCTCTTCATAACATAGTCTGATATTAATTCAAAGTCTGTTTGGACTCCACATGTTTCTGCTTACAGGGAGTGATGGTTAATTTTTTCCCACCTTTTGTTTTGGGTTTTTTATTTCATGGCACGTAAGAGAACCTTTGGTTTTGACATGTGTTTTCTTTGTCAGAGATGTTTTGCACTTGTTCAACCATAAATATGATTGTTCTCTGCGCGTTTCCGATTCCTCAAACCGGTTTAAACGTGTTACAGACGGACCAGTAAGACTGAGACTGTATCTGCACGTTTTGTCAAATCAAACCAGCACAAACTAAGTTTCATTCAGAGGTTTTGGTCAACAAATCACAAACTTTTCAGTAAACGAACAATTGTTGCTCTCAGAAACATAACCCAAAGACAAGGTGGCCATTCTGTGTAGACAGAGTGCACGACAGAGAGTCTGTTGTGCCTCCACTCCGCTGTCGCCACGTCTACCTCCAGTTGCCGCCGACAAAGAGATCCCAGTAGCTGCAACCAGAACTGCAACACACACACTCGCACCCACACTCAGTGGCCCAGTGTGTACCAACAGACAGTGGCGGAGCTGTGCGGGCTGCCAGCTCTCGGAGAGGGCCACTTTGTTTCACCTCTGACTTGGACTCTGGCCAAACAATCTGAGAGTGGCTCACTGAGTCACTTGATGAAGTCATTGAATGGGGAGTTTATAGTTGTGCGACATAGTTCCTTTAGTTTTTTTTTTTCTCTGCAATGTGCTTTTTATTCCAATGTTTAGTCGAAACAAATCATCGCTGTCGCTTCTAAATTTAAAATGTTTTCTGTGGTGTGAGAGTCTGTCCCCTGCTGAATGAAGGAGCAATTATTCAAAGTGTTGATTTGTAAATTTAACTAGGATTATTTCTGGGATCTGTATCAAACAAAAATATTCTCTTTAGATGTGTAGAATATGAGTTGTAGGCCTGGGGCACCTCTGCAAAACCACAATGCTGCAATTTCTAATTATATATTGTGACACTTCACAAAATGTGGTTTTGTAAGAGCAGGGTTTATTAAACAAATCATGCCACCGTTCACCAGGTTCTGGTTTCAGATTTGTACCATGCATATCAGATGCATTCACCCATTGATTTGAGTTTAACAATGAATGATCACATCCACTCTAAGATAATCCCCACTGTGTCTGATCACACGTTTGCTTTTCCTCCTCAGGACCTGGAGATCGTCTACTCATACCTCCACGGAATGGAGGCCTTGTCCAACTTGCGAGAGCACCAGCTGAGGTGAGTGTCTCCACACATTCCCGGCACTTAATTAACTTAATGCTCGATATCCCCAATCACACAAATTCAAAATTAAAACACGGTGACAGCGCCTCAGTTGCAGTCACCTGCATTTGTCCGCAGCCACAAAAATGATGTTCAAGTATTTGCAAGCTTTAGTATATTTAAGCTGATTCAGGGAGAAAGGGACCAAGTAGTTCAAAATATAAATGACAAGAAAACACGAGTTTATTTTTGTGTAACCTGTGTAACCATTCAGACGTTAACATCCTGTCCTGCCCCTCATATTATTTTACCTTCATCTCTCCTGTTACCACGTTAGCTTTCCAGTCGTTTCTGTCTGGCGTGAACTATCCAAACAGTGCATGTCAGAAGTCTGTTCCCAGCATGCCTTGTGTGCATACATGTGGATTATACTGGCGAGGGGAACAATGTAGCAGTACATGACCCGCAAGCTGGAACATTCCTCTGCGTGACCCCTCGGAGGCCTCCCACCCTGCAGTAACCCCCCACCTCCTCCTCCTCCTCCTCCCTGTTTGGATCCTGAGGAATGTCCCCGTGGTCCCACAGACCAACCCACCTCCACTGCTGCCAACTTTATCGGAGTGGTTTTGGTTTTTCCTATCTTTGGGAAAAAAAGGAAAAAGAAACTCCCAGCCAGCCAGACATCACACTAACCATGGGATTATGTTATAGTTCATTCTTCTGGAGGAATGTGTTGTTGCTCTTCTGTGGTTCTCGTTCACAGCAGCTTGCTTTTTAGCGGCAGGATTGTTTTTCTGTACTCGTGCAGTGGGGCTACAACACGACTCCCGCCCCCAGCTACTTTTGAAGCCTTTTTGTTGTTTTGATCAGCTTCTGTTTATTGTAGTAGCCTGCCTGTAATGTTGAGGCTTTCTTGCCTCCTCTGGGAAAGACTGATATGGGGGATTGTTTCAGTCTTTATGTGGAGGAAAAGGGGTTTGATTCCGAATATCAGAGAGTCCCCGTCTCTGGAAAAAACTGAAGACACTGTGTCTAATATATATAGTTTAAAATAATGGCCCTCTCAAAGTTAGACATTTCAAACTAAGAAAAACAAAACAACATTTCACTAACAGGAGCTGTGGGAGCACAAAGTGAGTCTGAGCGTGAACGATGAAGGGAAACTAATGTACAGTGTCTGCGTAATAAGTCGTCTAATCCCTTTACATTGGCACGAGCAGCCTCGTGTCTCTCAGGTTAATTGTTGAAATCCCAACACATAACTTACAATCTCTGCTGCCCTTAAACACGGCACTAAACTCTCAGCTGCCACCGCGGAGCTGCCGGACTTTAATTGGTCTGGATGCCTTCCAGGTGACGCGAGCGCAACTAGCAAGCGTGCCGCTAATTAAATCGAGATGTTTAGCACTTGTTCATCTCATTATTCAAATCAATCAATGTGTAATGGTCAATTGATTATTTGTTATTTGATTGTTAAATGCATATACAAAGATAGACAAAGTAAAAAAGAGGCTTCGTGATGTAACTGTGTCGTATTTTCTATTTATTGAATCTTAAACTTAAAAACAGGTTTATTTTGAATAAAGGCACACAATTGTAGAAGAGATAGAAAAAACCACCTCCCACTCAGCAGTCGACTCACTACATAATAGAATGAGTCACAATAAGCTCACTACCGTGCTCTTGTTCTTTATGTGTTGTTACCATTGTTCTCTCCATCCGTAGTACAACCTACATCTTTCTACTTAACCTTTTACATCTACTCTCTACTTCCATTGTTGTTTATCAGCAACAAGCTTAGTATGCGTCACTGACGGCGGCTGAAATTTAGAAAATCATCAGTTGTATATTTTTGTAGTAAAATATTTTAAACTCACTGGAGCGAGACATGTCTTCATCAGAGCTACATTCGGATTCTGTTCCTTTCTTTGTTTGGTCTGTTTTGTTATAATGTTAATGAACCTTTTATTTAATTAAGGTTTTCGATTTCCTCCTGTTGTTTTCTGACCATCACTTTCCCTCTCCTCTCTGTCCCTGCAGGATAATGTGTGAGACGGTTCGTTATGAGCGACACGAGGCCAACGAGGTGCTATACTAGTAAGTACCACAACGTCTGGTCGTGGGTGCGTAAATGGTTATTAATTATATCTGGTGAAAGCGTCTCTACCGGCGCACGAGAGCAAAGAAAAACTGGTCTCGTCTCAGAGTCCGTGTCCTAACGAAGGTGAGTGTTTCAGTGCTGCCAAACCACTGAGGACCAAGAAGTGATTTCCAGTCTAATTCCAGCTTCCTTTAACGTTTTCCGTCCTTTTGTGTCGCGGATGGTTAATATAATCGGAAAGCTGTATTGACTGTTCCCAAAGAGCTTCCGAGTGTGTTTGGATCCACGCTGAAATGCTGCCACAGCCGCATTAAGCAGGAAAACACACACAGTGTTTGACTGGTGTCACATGTTGACGTCTTCCAAACACCCACGGAGAGAATTAAGACAGTTAATTAACTCTATCAGCGTCTCAAGGAGCCGGAGAGGGCGCCACGTCCCCTCCCTGCTTCCTGATCCCCAGCGTGTGCGTGTCCTCTGTGTGTTGTGTGATGGGATGATGTGGAAGAGTCAACACCTCATTAGAAGCCCACTTCGCGGTGTGGGAGCTGATTAAACAATAGGAATGCAGATTAAGCAGTGGTCGCATAATAGACTCCAGTTCCTGCAAGATTCCCTCAGGCCCATCTCACACACACACACACACACACAGCATCAGGCCTTTACATTGACGCTCACCTCCTCGATAATCATTATACACGTCAGAAATACTTCTAACGTCAGTAGAACCAATTACGAGTTGTGTGGTCATTACGCTGTCGCAATATTTATCTTGTCAGACAACTTTGATCACGAAGAGCAAGTGGACGGGCGTCTCAGAGCAGCACTGCAGGACTGACAGGCCTCGTCTCTGCAGCTGAGACTTAATCACTATGTTAGACTTGGAACGTCGTGTTAAACATTAAACTGAGACTTAAGAAAAGGCCCCTGCCCGAGTGGATGTTGGCTAAAACTCAGTATGAAATTCACTGAACTGACATTTCAGCAGCTGGCGCTCAGCGGAGTCTCCAGGTTGTTTGTCTCACGCTGCCAGATCTCAGCTGCGAAGAACATTTTTGTGTTTTCTGACAGAAAAAGTTCAATTTCCCACTCGGTGCAGAAATGTTTGATAAAAACAAAAAGACGTGTCGACAGTCTTTCGGTGTTTCGATTTGATTTCAATGGCTTGGTGCTGAAGCAGTCACAGAGAAGAGCACCACAGCCTGTAGTTTGCTTAATTTGACCCTGGGCACAGAAACGCAGAAGGTTATTTTCCTTTTGGTTTATTTGTTCATTTAATTTGCACTAGTCTGCACACTTTGGCACAAGCTCGCTTGCATGTATTAACCTATAAAAGTCAGTGGTGGCTCTCCCTGATAAGAGCTGGGTGTTACACAGCAGTAGATCAGATTGAGTTGCCTTCGCTGTGGGATCTTAATCAGTCTCCTCTGAATATACAAGCCTCTCACCGCCTGTCTTCGTTTCCTCATCCGTTTGTAACAACGGCAATAATCTGCCGGGGAATGGGGCCTTTAAAAGTCAATGGGGGAATTTAATGTGATCCTATCTCAATTAAGTTGTAAAAATTGTATGCGTTGTACATTGAGAAGGTCGTAAAGAGAGTTCATCTCCTCGAGTCGGGTGCACGTTCAAGTGAAAGATATTTTTAGTCAAATCCATGATGACTTTTGTTAAGAGGAAAAATGTCATCAGTGACGAATGTCAGTTGTTTTTTTTAACCTCTTGCAATTACAGAATATTATACTGGATTTAATACTCACTACTAACACAGAGGTGGACGCCATTTACAAAACCTAGCTTAGTGTAGCTACTGTGGATAGTTCAAATGCTCACAAACAAGCTGGAGAATTTTTATATTTTAGAACAAATACAAAGACCTAACCTCGAGGCCCCAAAAATTATTTTTAATGAAGAATTATTTATTGAGATATTAGATTATTACTGCAGACAATCACTTGGTCTATTTATTTTTAGAAAATAGTTCTTCTGTCAAACCGACTGTCCAGAATGGAACAGGTTTTTTTTTTTGTAATTCTTGAAAAAGCAAAGCAGATTCGACTTCAACTGAAGAAAACGAAAACGAAAAAGATTTCTCGCTGAGCTGTAAATATTACTTCCCTTGCTTCATATAAATTGGAGCGAAGTTTCCCTGTTTGGCAGCCGTCTCTCCTCTGGGTCTATACTGTCCTCATGCCTTAAATGACGTGCTCACATGAGATAATATCCAGTAGGACATCCATCATAGAAATAAATCCTGTGCGTATTTATTTTTCTGCACAATGCTGGATAAAACCACTAAGATTCATTTAAATATCAGAGTTAATGTTGCTCACTCTGCCGTATCCCTGACAGTCGGATGTCCTGGAGGATAATACTTTAAAAAGTACTCATTTCTCCTGCCTGGGGCTGTAGATTGCTTGAGTGCAAACACAACATGCACAGATACAAATACACAGTTCCACTTAATATCTCATGACAACGTCCCCTACTGTGAGAGCCTGAGCCCTCTCGGGATTTACCACCCAGAGATTATAGTGCTAAAGCCGTCCTGAGATGGAGGCTGACCTGGCACACTTGACTGTGGCTGGTAAAGTGTGGTCGACCTTTGACCTCTCCATGTCAGCCCTTTCAGTGCCGTACTTGGCTTTGACCTGAGCTACACTGGCCTGTATGTGTCCAACACAAACGTCCGTGCTTATCGACTCTATCTGCAGATGTGGATGTTATTTTGTTGGAGTGGTGCAGTTGAATTCTTGGCTGTTTGTGTTCGAACCGTTGAATAACCAACGAGCCACGAGTTAAATGATGAATCATTTGAATAGTTTTTCAGGCCAAAAAGCTTAAAATGTACTGGTTTGACATAATTATACATTCTACTTACAGAAGTAAATATTCTAAGTCATGTAATGTTAACAAACTGATTGGATTGTAGGTTCTTGGAACGACAGACCACGAAGGAGGTTATGATTTTGCCCCTGTGTGTTTGTTGCAAAAATAATTCCTGTATAGAAACTGGTCCTCTCTTGACCACATGTCCCATCTTTCCACCAGCTTTCATGGAAATGCATTTTTTTTTTATCCAGCGACAAACAAATAGACGAGTCAAAAACACAACCTCCTTTGCAGAGGTAATAATTGTCGGTCCATGTTTTCCCTCCTTTGCATTATTATGTTTAATGAATGTGAAAGTCAGGCCACACATTGAAGGTTATGTCAGTTTTTATCAGCTGAAGTAGAAGTGCTTTAAATGCCACCTTCATAATACCTCACTTCAATTAATGCCAGCAGCTCCGTCCACCAGGTGCATTATGTCAGTTTATTATTTGTTATAATGGAAACAGCAGCTGAGTCTGAATACGTTTGCCCTTTCCTTTATTTAGTTCTGGGTTAACACCTTGTTATGACTTTACCTTCACACGTCTGATTCCGCCACGTTGTGACCGTCACACTGAAATCCAGTCTGTACCGTCACGGTCAGGGAGCTGAATGTGCCGATTGAAGTAATTCAAACAGGAACAATCACAATTCGTACGTTGGCGCTGAGCTGTTTTGGTCAAACATTGATATTTTGATGGAAGTTTCAAACAATCGGCTAAAACAGTCCAATCAATCAAACCGTCGCCAGAAGAGAAGAAAAGAGAAACGCCATAGAAACAGTCAGATATTTTAACCCCCCGGCCGCGGTTCGGAGGCAGTGACGACGCTCCGGTGCAGCTGTCGGAAACGTTGAGCCCCCTCCCACCCCCGTGCAGCTCCTGTTCTCTGTGACACTGTGAATCTGCCGGCCTTCAGACGAAGGGTCACAGCGGGGAAGACGAGCGAATCGATCGGGTGAAATAACTGAGAAACAAATCACCACATCCACAGACCAGTCGGCTTTAATCACCACAAACTCTATAACAGACAGTTCAGTGTGTCACTGTTAGATTTTATATATATATATATATATATAGAGAGAGAGAGAGAGAGAACAACCCTCTGGATTTTTGGTTTTTAAATCGTGTAAATCCTCAACAAGAGTTGAAGTTTTATTGTTCAAACCTTGAAAACGTGGTATGATGAATACTTTATTTCATAAACACCATTGTGTTATTGAGAGTTTCGTGGTCAAAGCTTCACCACAATAACAAATTAAAACGGTTCTATTTTTAGGAGCTTGTTGATATTTTGGCCTGAGTGTGATTCTCAGGAGACGCACCTCTTTTCTTATGAAAGTCCTGTTTCAAAACAACATGGCTGTTTCCTCCAGACATTTAAACTTTGTGTTTTGTTGATACCGGTGTATTTTACTCAGTGTAAAGGGCAACACAGACTTTGCTGCTGTTTGTGCACAATCAGCCATATTTTATTATTTTTCACTCACCACGGTCATTTTAAGATCAAGCTGACAGGAAACGAGTAACAACCTCAAGATGTGAAACATTATACTAAACGTTTTACTAAATGTACCTTCGACTCCTGGTACTTTTCACCATTATCCATCATTTAGCACAGAATTAAAGCCGATGACTTCTTTTTAAGTTTTCCAGATGGATTCTCCTGAAGAACGTGATGCATTATTTTCTGCAACATCAGTTTTTTCCTTTTCATTTCCTTCTAAAAATCAAACTGTTCGTTTTATAAGACTGATCCCATGAAAGTCTTGATGCAATAATCACTTTTCCCCGGTCGTCTTCCTCCCCTCCACCGTCTCCACGGCTCTCACACAACCTGATTCCCCACTGTTCAAGGCTTCCCGGTGGGGGTTTTGGTGGATGATGTTTAGTGTTTGACAATCGCTTCTAGTGCGCGTGACCCAGTTCAGTCAAGCTGTCGCGGCGCATAAGAGTCTCCTATCTCCTCCTTTTTTCTTTTTTTTTGGTGTTGTATCTTCTCTTCTTCCTCCTCCTCCTCAGACTCGGCGCATCTGCTTGCCAGCAATTAATAATTTAGCGTTTCATTCGCCGTCAGTCGTCTCCAAACGCAAAGAAGAGCCATGAAAGGATGGAGCGAGTCTGGAGGGAGGAGGATGGGGACCAGCAGAGGGGGAAAAGGAGAGGCGATGGTGGTGGACGGAACAAGGGAGATATTTTGCTGTGTGTCAGTAGGGCGTGCTGTCTACAGCCTCATTAGCTGCACGAGGAGAGGAGGAGGAGGAGGAAGAGGAAGGAGGCGAGACTTTGTTCTCAATGATTAAATAAAAAAAAGAAACTCAGTCAGCACAGGGATGCTTCCTGTGGATACGTGTGTCTGTGGGGATGGATGTAGAGTTAGTGCACCCATCCTTTACCTTTCTGTTAGTGAAAAGCAATCCCACCCTGCTGGTGTCTCATTGATTTCCCTTCTCCCTCTGGTTTCAATTAAGAAGTCTCACTCAGACCAGGTGATTCTGCGATTATCACACGCTGCTGCTTCATTTACACCAGAGCACCTGAATTCAGCCTGGTCACGTATTGAAGCTCCGACTGGTGAACACACACAGGGATGCATTCGTTTTGAATTTAGTGAGTTAAGATAAAATGTTCAGATAACATTGGCTGGTCACAAACAAGCTCGAGAATTTTTATATTTTAAAACAAGTGCTTCATAGTTGGAGCCAAGATTTCTAACCTCAGGGCACCAAAAGTTATTTTTAATGAAGAATTATTTATTTAGATATTAGATTATTACTGCAGACAATAAGTCTTTTCATTTTAAAAAATGACTTCTCTCACTTAAGATGTCAAATGGACCAAGACTTGATTAGAGCCCAACCAATTTCTCATTTGTCCATTACATATCGTCTGGGTAGAGCCTTTAACAGACATGAAAACTTTATTAATCTGGTCGTATTTGTATTTTACTTTTTTTAAAGTCTTACATTTTTAACTACCTGACATCAATATCATTATTGGTCCCCAAAAATATCATTAAATGTTTTCACTTGGTGGAGTTTAGATTTAATGCACATTATTTGTTTCTGTCTTTTTCCACTTGATCTGGATTAACAATTCAAACGCTTAAAACCTCTGTTGTGTTTTGGTCCTGATGCTGAAATAACAAACTGAGAAATTAAATCCTAATAATTAACAAAAATAATAAGATTGTTATAATTATTCCAGTTTAACGTCGATCACCAGAGAAAATGAAAGCAGTTTTTGTTTACTGACGTGTCTTTTTTCTGTCCAGCGCTGCAGAAACTGCACTGTTCCCCTTCAAGTTTCCCAGCACTGTGGAAAGATGGTGTTAGTTTTCGTGTCATGAGAAAATTTCCTTCTTTGAGTTACTGCTTCCATTTTACTGTCAGAGTGAAGCCTTTCACCGAACATCACCACACAACAAGGATTTTTTATTTTAAATCACAGTTATCCACAAGTTTTATTAAATACTAACAGACACACACAGAGAAGATCATTTAAAAGAAGCATTTTATTTATCAAAGAGCAGGTTTGACAGACAAACCAAGCCGGTACAACAACACTTGATATTTGAACTGACCCGCACAACGTGTGCATATGTTCTGTTGTGTCCTTTGAGCCTTCTGACGGGTTGCATGCAAATGAAAGACCGCATTAACCTTTCTATCCGTCGCCATGGCATTTGTTTACGGTGCCTTCGCAGTAGGTTAACATCCCTGATAATCCTGCGTGTACTGAGTGTTCAGTGAGATTCAGAGTATCTCCGCCTTGTGAGATTATCCCTCTGCTGTCCACGAAGGCCCCAAGGCTAAACCAGATGAGCCAGGAAATTAAATTCATGCATTTAATAACTATGTTATCAACATGCACTATGACACGGACAGGCAGAATTTAAAACTGAAATGTATAGATGCGTTTGGTTTATCTGAATCATCCTCTGAATGGCCTCTGACTCTCCTGTAGGGCGTCTGTGAAATCACCCGTTAAGTTGCGTGAATAATAAAACCTGAAACGTTGCTTATGATTTAAATTAAACCTGCAGAAACGGTGCCTTGACGAGCGTCTGCACTCTTGGGTGTTTGTTTGTTTACCCGTCATGTTGCACAGACTTGACAGGCAACTGCATCATCCAGGGGTCAGTCGGAGTTTACTTTGTCTGAGACGCCCAATTTCCTCGTCTGTGTGTTTGAGCAAGGCCGTGGGTGTGGGTGGATGAGAGATTACTCCCTAGTTCATTCATAGTTCTCTCTCTCCTTCTCGCTAACACTCTGTCGCTCTCCTGTTTTCTTCCTGTCACGTTCTCTTTTTTTAATCTCAGTCGTTGGAACAATGAGCGCTCTTACATTAGCAACGCATTTAAACAGAGAGGTTTTACGTTAACAGGTAGATACAGTCGGTGGAAATAAATCAGGAAAACCACATTTCAGAGCGTGGGGCTGCCGCACACATGGATTATTTTAGGATTGATTATTCTGTTCAGGGACAATCTAAAACCTGAAGGTGTTCAGTTTTCTATTGCACAGAACCCAGAGTGACAAAAGATATTCACTCTAATCACTTATCTAATCCGTTAATTGATTGATTGATTGAATGATTGAGTGATTGATTTCCTGGCTTTCAACTGTGAAACAGTTGCAGAAGTTGAAGCCCATATATTTTCAATTTTCCATTCACTATCCAGAATCATTACATTTCCATGTCGTATTATATGATTTGCTATTTCATCCTAAACGTCTCCCCTGTTTTTTTTCTTTCAGCCCGGACGACATTGGAAGCTGCTGGTACATCCTGTTGTCCGGCTCCGTCTTCATTAAGGAGTCCATGTTCCTGCCCAGAAGCAGGTAGGATTACCGTCAAGCTGTTTTGGGTCAAGATGCTGTTTGATGGATTGAACTTGGTGCAAACATTTCTCCCTTCAAAGACTATTTAGAAAAGACTTGAAGAAAGAGCCAGTCTTAATTTGTTCTGTCTCAAAAAAGCTCCCATCCTCATCAGCTCACTCTTAAAACAGGACACACGCTCTCTATTAGAACCGGTCACAAAGGATAATAATTAAGTGTATGTTTGTTGGAAATCTCAAGAAGAAATGTTCTAAGATAATTTCTGCCTTTTCTTTCTCAACAATCTATTTTAATTATGATGTCACTGAAGAGAATAGCTGAGGAGAAAGTGACCCCTGCTGCCAACTGTTGTTTCATTTCTTCCCAACCTCGGCACAAAATGAGTGAACGTTACGACTTTGAACATTTGACAAATATTTGTCTGATGCACATGCTTTCAATTTGCTCAGCCTGCTGGTACAGTCCAATGTTTCTCATCCACCATCCACAGTGTGGTCGCTTCTCTTAGCTAAGAAATGGATTCTGGGACAGAGCCTCGCATTTGTTTTTTCGCAAGAAACCAGAGGTGGCTTCATATTTTAATTCTCTAATCTGACCTATATGACTTGCACACACACACACACACACACACACACACACACACACACACACACACTTGTAAGCTGGAATGGCACCAGTAGAGTTCGTACCAGCGCAAACACCCAACCGACCAAATTCGCCCCCATCTCGCAATAAGAAAGAAAAACAAACCTCCTGGATCTGCCCCTTTATGCACATCGACGCCAAAGTTTAATGAGTTCTTTCTTGGCCAGTCTCTTATCCTTTCACCAAGTTTCATGGAAATCCATTCAGTAGTTTTTGCATAATCTTGCTGACCAACTAACAAACAGACAGGGGTGAAAACAAAATCTCCTTGGCCGAGGTACCAATGTCGCAAGTGAAGAAAACCCAGACACAGAGCCACGAAAACCTGCAGTCGTAGACAAACAAAGCATTCAGGGACAATCTTACATAAACGTTATTGTTGCCTGTGTGATGCCATAACCAGCCACAAAATGCTCCCCACTAGCCAACACGGTCTCCACAGTACACTGTTACACACAGGCCTCAACAAGCTCCTCTCCCCATCAGCAGATTTAAGTTTGAAACTAATTAACCCCTGAGTTTCAGACTGTGAAGTAACACAAACAGAAAAAACAATGTGATCCACAACAGATTCTGCTTCATAGAAAAATGTTAAAACTACATTAACAAACATTTACGAATATGAAATTATGTTATGGACACTTTTAGGAAGCCGTTGGAGCAGTAGCCTTCAAAATAAGAGCCTTTTAAATCCATTTTACTGAAATTGAGGTCGCCCTGCTAAGCATAGCAAACACTGCATTACTGGTATACAGCAGAACATAATGTACCTATTTGTCCCCCTGTGGGTTTCCAGGAGTGGAGGCTGGTGTATAAAGAAATCATGAATTACATTACATTAAAACACAGTTCTAATATTATAAAATGTCCCTTGAGGAGATGTTATAATTGCTGACTTTATCACATATCATACATTATGTTTTTACAGCTCCCTGAAAAGCAGAGATTAAATATATGTTTTCTGCTCATAATTAAAACGTGGATAACAAATTGATAAATATTAACGCCCAGAAACGTTTCTGAGTCTCCGGCTACTTTGACTGAAAAAGAGAGCGTGAAACACTGAAGGGGAAATACAATGGTCTTATTTTGCTGCCACGCCCCCCCCCCCTAGCTTTGTTGACAGTGTTTGAAGTCGCACTCAGTATTTCATGATTTACATATAATTCATCCAGTTGTCCTGATAAGGTGGGTCGCACAGAGGAACGAATATCTGAGCGCTTGAAGAAAGAGGAGAGGTGGTGGATGATAATTATCTGCGACACATTCAGAGGACTGAAGCTTCATGTTCCCCCCTCTCCGTCTCACAGCAGCGATCACCGCCTCCTGCAGCCAAGTCCCAAATGTTAAAAAGCTGTGATTTCACAAGCGGATCTGTTACATGAACCGTTGCTGTGGGCGTCGTGAAAACAATGATCTTTTCATCCATTAAGGCTTGCATAACACACCTACGGCCACTAAGAGCTGGAGGCCGTCACTTTGCGGTGCAGCGTTGTGCCAGCAGCGCGGTGGGGGCGGGCAGTGGTCATTCTCCGGATTCACGCGAACGTGGGAGGCATTTAAAATGCAAGGCTTGATCGGAAATGTGCCAAAAGGCCGGTCCCCTCTTAAATATAACCTTTTCTGATTTGCCAAGGTGAAAGTGTGTGTGGGATGCAGCCGGGGGATTTGCAGATATTGGCAGATTAAAGTTAATGCCCGGCTCCAGGTGCTCGGAGAGGAGAGGGCTTTGAAAATATTTACTAAGCATGTGTTCCAAAGAAGCCTGTGTCGGGATCCTCCCAGCTGCACGGGACTGCATAGGGTTGGTGATTAGCTCACTGTGTTCCAGGGGGATGACAACCGCGTTGCACAAGACTGTTGTGTTGCTGTCAAACGCACTAAATTACATTTGATGCACAAACTGGATATTGAGCAATTTCCACCCAGTGCAGCTGCGTCAGGCTCGGGTCGGGTTCCTACACAAAAACAGAGCGCCTGTTGGGTTCGGTTGGTTTTCACTTGGATGGTTTTCGGACAGATTTGACCCGAGCCGCCCTGTACAACAAACACAAACCGTAGACTGTACATAAAGCTGTACGATGCATCTCTTCTTCCTCCCACGGTCCTGAAGTGAAGCCAAAATGTTTTGACGTGTAACTTTGACATTTTAATTTGCCCCTTGTCCCATTCACTAACAAAGGGGAGGCGAGGTTTATGATCTGCACTGCAGCCAGCCACCAGGGGGCAATCAAGACACTCTGGCTTCGCTTTTTGGCAGCTGTCACGTCGTCCATCTTTCTCATCGGTCTCTGACCCAAGCTGACAGTAATTACACAGGGCCGTTGTATCATACAGCGCTGTCTGCACCTTAACAGCCTCCATTTGTACAGTTTGACGAAAAGTCCTCGCCAACAGTGTCCGTCATTTTTCTGACAGGAGTAAAATTCCGTCATTTCTCATTTGTCTGAAAACAGCCTCTTGTGGATTTATGAATATTAACTGTTATCTGTCAGGAGCAAAAGTGGAAGTGTAGTGTGATGTGTGTGTGGGGGGGGTGGGGGGGTGAGACTTGAAACCATGGTTTGTGTTTTAACCATGACCACGATGTTGGTTTAACTCAAACCAACCTAATGAACACAAAGAGGACTGTGGAGTACCGTCAACAAAAGCACATTATACTCAACACTATGACCTAAATACTGCAATGTGTCACAGTGATGCATTCACCATGAGAACGAACAAAAGTAAGGATGAGTTAGTTTTTAATGAATCTGTCCCCGTGTTATCTTTCTTCAGCTTCTCTTCATTGACAGTGTGAGGAGTCACAGATTGTAGTTGGTGTCTGGCTGGTAAAACTTTGGCCTTTATGTTACTGGTTGAGTTTAAATATCCAGAGATGAGATTCAGCTTTTTATTCACTGAAACCATACTGGGGTCAGTTTTTTTCCTCTTCTCTCTCTCTCTGTAGGTTTGACCTCCAGCTCAGCCCTTTGTTTTGTGGCTGCAGAATGAAAAACATTTTTTTTGAAGAGTATTGAAGCAACAGCCATTTCCTCTGTGTCCTATTGTGAAATGACTCATTCAAAGTGAGACACGGCCGTTCGAGTTGTCAAGGACGTGACTGTTTACATTTCCAATTGAGACATGACACTTGTGACACCTTTGGTAATAATAACATCAGTACCTCAGCAATTCTTTAGAACAGCGTAGCACAATAGTTCCAACCTAACCGGGCGTCATCAGACTTCGCTGGAGGATGAACTGTCACATCTCACACGTATTTAAGTGTCATCACATGAAAGACGTGTCTCAATATGGAATTGTTCTTTATATGTTTAGGACTTTCTTCATTAAAACAGCAACTGTTGTATTAATCTATAACGTTTGATTTTGAACACACTTGGATTTTTTTCATTAGAGTGTGTGGGGGGGGGGGCAAAATGACCCGGAGGGGGAAATTGTTTGTGACACGAGGAACTGAACCGAGTCCAGCGGGACTTCCTGAAGCTTTTAAAGATGTGGTGGAATTGAGTTTCAGCCCCGGTCTAGAAATGGCTGTCCACATCTACACTGGCAGCGAGGTTGATAACCTGATACGACTCCATCGTTCTCTCAGTGCTCCTCTCTCGCACTCTCTGCTCCTTTCGCCTCGCTGGTCGCTGTAGTGAGATGTGATCCAGAGGGAAGATAAACGACTTGTGGAGAAGCTGGAGCTCAGTGCCTTATTTAACCCAGAAGCCCGTGTGGAATCATATACAACCCAAATAAATATGTTGATAAATGGGTGACACTGCTGCACAAGCATGTAATTAAAGTAAATTGGTAAATTGGGGCCTTTGATTCCAGGATCAGGCATGAGAATGATTCTTGTCAGATTAGGTGATTGTGGAGTGATAACAACAACAGAAGTTTGAATATTTAAAAACGGTTTTATGAATGAAAGTTTACCCCCCAAAAAAAATATGGTCAGTCATTGGTGAAATGAAGCTCAGTCACTGTAAAGAAAAACAAGGCGAGTGTTGGGGTGTACAGGATACATACACACACACATGTGCCCGAGGGTGACGTCGTCCACTGGTGTGGTTAATGTGGTTAAAATGCTCCTGATGTGAGGATGTGATTGTAAGAGGGGTTTCAGGTTCACTGGAACAAAGTGCCCCGTCTCATAATAAATCATAATGGTTCATTTAAGACTCTTCATATAAAACACTTTGTTACATTACTCTGCATTTAAAAACAGAAAGTTATTCAAAATAATAGTTCAGTGATGACTTAACAAAATAAAGATTAACTGGAATGCCTAGTATAGATACAAGGTTTTATACAAACTGTATAATGGCGACAACGTCTCCTATCAAATATAGACCAGCAGT